GCTCCAGCCCAATCTTAATTTCCCGGATTTGCTAATTTTGTATTGGTAATTAAAAACATAATTTATTCCATGCCATATTACATTAGCTCAATAATAATTTTATTTTAGCCCAAAATAAGTTAATTTTGTGTTACATTAAATCAATGAACTATATATTCAAACATGATTTAACTTTCTTTCTACTTTTCCTTTTAGATTATTATGCCCCTTTTATGTCATTTTGTGTTTATTTTTTATTATTTGATTAAGTAAATTTTATGTGAATATTTCTATTCGAGACAATATTTGATTGTGTTAGACTTTCATTAGCATATTTAGGGCTTGTTTGGAAACACTTATTGATAAGTCCATTTCAAGATGGACTTTTTGAAAAGTGACTTCTCAAGAAGTCTTCAATATAAACTTCTTTGAAATAGACTTTTTGTAGGAGTTACTTTTTTAAAAGTCCATTTTGTTGTTTACACCAAACATCTTTGTTTACACAAAAAAGTCCATTACAAAAGTGCTTTCAAACATACACTTAGTATGTAATTGAATTTAGCGCTTTCAAAATCAAGTTTATGTATTTATTGATTTTTTAAATAAATGATAGGTGATTATATGAAATTTACTACTAAATCTCATATATTCGTTGACAAAATCACTGAAATGTCATATGTACGTTAAATGACAAGACATATAACAAGAATGACGGGACTATTACAATGTTTTATAGCATTTTTTTAAAATTAAAATTCAAGTACATGAGAAAATTTATCTCTGTACATTTTAAAGTTAAATAATAAGACAATTTAAAATAAATATTTGTCATATGCATAAGATAGCAGCTAAAAAATCACAAGTTGAAAGAAGGTCATCTCCATATAAAATACGACTTTTTATTTTATAAATGCAACATTCACTTTAATATAATTTACCGTGTGATTCATTTAATTTATGGTAAATGTAAAATCTATTCTCATACTTTGACTTCTTTGTACATGTGTCGAGATAGATTTTTTGAATCGAGTAATTCAATTCGTGCTCATTTAATAAACAAACTGTCGTGGCTCAGCTCGTTTAACAATAAAAAATGAGCTTGGGTTCGACTCTTATACACTCATTTCAAGTCATTTAATAAACCTTAAAACCTAGATCGAAAACCCAAAACTTTAACCAAATTATTCGCGAACACGCTTGACTCGACTTGTTTGATAGACAAGTTCGACCAGTTGTTCGAGTTCGACCCGTTTAAATATACAAGCAAGTCAAACTTGATGTTTTACAAGTCTATTTGAACTATGTTAAAGGACAACTCGATTTTGAATAACAACTGCATATTTCGTAGCTATGTGTGAAATTTTTTTCTGATTACGCCCTTGTACTAGGACATGCATTCTAGAGATGAAATATGAGATGAGTGGCTAGTTATTTTATTTAATTGTTAGGTGGATAAGATTTTGTATTTTCGACGTGATCGGCGCACGGATTGGCTACTCTTTTTTATAAAATATAAAAAAATAAAAATAAAAATGGACATACAACTTGTAAAGTTGTAGCCAATACAAAAGATAATAAATAATAAATTAATAATAAAAAAGGACCAACACTAGTAAGACGTACCTTGGTCAAAATAATTGAAGTCTGATTAATTTAATTTTGGGGCCCATACTATGCTAGATTTGTTTTTAATGCTTTGTGAAGATTTTTTAAAAGGGTATATTTCATATCAATTTATAATATAATACTATTTTTCTTTTTTCTAATATGATTAAAATTCGATTTATGAAACATATCAATTTTTTAAATATGGCTCAATTTAAATGCACATCCAATTGAATGAATAATGAATTCAATAATATTTAATAATATTTGTAGGTTGAATATTATGTTGTATTTAGGTAATTAAATTTTTTCTTTTTTCTCATGGTTTTGAATCTTAATTATCCAACTAAATATAATATCACTTAAAATCCTTTTACCTTTCGGTTGTTAAAAATCATGACCTTTTGCTGCAATTTCAGGACATTTTTACACCTTACTGTACAGTTAAAAATAAAAAGTTACTGTTAAATACTTTGCAAAAGTCATTTGATATATACAAAGCAATTAGCACTAATGATTACTGAGAACAATTTGCAAGGCATAAATAAAACCTCCACAACAACTAGTATTCCCTTGTACTCAACTAAAATTGGTATTATTATTAATTTATTATTATTATTATTATTATTATTATTATTATTATTATTATTATTATTATTATTATTATTATTTTCAATTGAATTTCCACCAATACTTAAATTTTTTTTTTCTACCAAGAATTTCTTGTGTTATAATTTATGGTGAATTGATTGGGACCCAATTATATTTTACAGTGCACTCCAAGAATTTGAACACCACACACAACAAATACCATGGCAACAACTTATTTGCCTTACAAAGCAATTTGTGCAAGTATTTAATAATCTCTTTTTCAAAAGTTTCATAGAAAATGTACACATGTGGTTATCTTATGAACATAAGAAGTTTGATAAATAACTTGCACCCCTTTAATTAGAAGTGGCAGCTCCTTATAATAAAAGCGTCCCACTCTTAGAGCTGTAAACGAGCCGAGTCGAGCTCGAGTTTAGGGTGTTTAAGCTCAAGCTCGAGCCCTTAACGAGCCGAGCTCCCAGCCTGAAATCGAGCTCGAGCTCGGCTTGTTTAACAACTATAACAAGCCGAGTTCGAGCAGATCTCGAGCTTTAACAAACTAAACTATAGAAAATTATATAAAAATTCTCTTTTCGAGCCTTATCTCGTTCACCGAATAACGAGCTTTAATTGAGCTCGAGATCGGCTCGTTTATCAAATGAGATGAGCCGAACTCGAGCCGAGCCAAACCAGACTCGTTTAATTTAACAACACTACCCACGCTTCATGAAAGCAATATGAAAAAACAAAAATAAAAATGTGACCCTCCCATGTATTTAGTTAAAACTAAGATTTAAAAGTCTTAATGGTATAAGCTAGTAGTAGACTTTATTTTTCCACATTGCACAGAATTTGAGATTAATTCAAATGCCATTGTTTTAATAGGTTTTAATAAAGCACAAGATACTTCACGTTTCATTTGAGATTAATTAATCTATATATATATAATTGCTAGCATATAGCATTTAAAAAACCTATTTAATAAAACTTTAAAATTTTTCCGTCTATTCGGTTACAAAATTTATCATTAATATTTTTTTACTTCTCACATTAATACATCCTATTAAGTGTAATTATATATTTTTGATTTTTTTCTATTATATTATATAATAGTTATTGTTAATACTAACTAATAATAATTCACAACAAATATAAATTACCTAATTATAAACAATTGTTTCAAGTTATTTATATTAACATCAATATTTATTTTTCTTTTGTATCTCATGAAAAAATTTCTTTAAAAATAATTAGTAAATTGTTTTAATAGCATAGTCAAACAATTATAGAATCTTATAAACAATTGTTTCTTAGTAATAATAATAATAATAATAATAATAATAATAATAATAATAATAATAATAATAATAATAATAATAATAATAATAATAATAATCAAACTATTATTATATAAATAAACATTTGTTTATAATAATAGAATTTATTTTTCCTAATGATCAAATTTTTGGAAATGTAATATGTTTATTATCTAAAATTTTAATATTAAATTCTCAAATATTACTTACAATATTTTATGTACATCTGTGCATATGCACAAGATATCTACTAGTTTTTTTTTAAGAAAAACCAACAATATCAATTCTTTAAACATATTAGGGCACTTGTAGTGCTAGGCTATTGATCATAAATAATAAATTATAATATGTGTCAAGTAAGTTTTTTTATATCAAATGTCAAATAAATAACATTGCCTCTATCCTCATAAATGGATTTAACCTCAATAGTTCATCATTAAAAAGTAGTAAGATGCAATCAATGATTAAAACGAGTTATTAATTTTTCGAAGTGGGAATATTGTAATATTATTTCTAAAGTAAAAAAAAAAATCATATTTATTGTATCTATCTATCATGACCTTAAATTAATTTATTATTTATAATTATACAATCTATTTCCACTACAAATAATTATTATTTACAATTTAGTGGATTACAACTAAATATTATTTGTAATCAATATATTATTGTAATATATATATATATATATATATATATATATATATATTAGAAAAATTGTATTATTTGTAATCTATATAATATTTATAATATTAATTTTACAACAAATACTTCTATTAAATTTTAAAATAATAATTATATATAGATTACAAATAATAATTATTTTTATTATAAAAAAAAGAAATTAAATGAAATTGGAAGTAAATGCATTTTGAATTGCAACCAAAACAAAATAGTGTTCCACCCAAGAGCGCTTGGATGAGATGACTTGGGTCTCTTCCAGCTTAACCAGTGGTCTCGTGTTCGAGTCCTGGGAATGCAGCAGTGTTAAAACTCATGAGGGAGAGCTTTGCCGCCCTTGTGGTCCTACCCGGCTCGATTCCGGATTAGTCGGTTCCCATGTGGATCCGGAAACCGAAAGGTCCCTGTACCAAAAAAAAAAAAAAAATAGTGTTCCCGTTACACAGTTAGATCAACTATCCACAATGGTTACATGATGATCTAACGATTACAAATCCCGACAGAATAATTATGTAACGAGACCATAATATTTTCCTAAAATAAAATAAAATAGCACTTAACCAAAATTTTCTCTTTATACAAGCATAAAACATATAAACAAAAGAAAAAAAAAAAATGTTTTGCTTCTTGTTAACGTCATGCCCCTTTCACTTTTCCTCTTTCCTGTCTGCAACTCTTGCTGCTCTTCAACACTCGCCTTTCCTAGCCGTTGTGTCATTTTTCTTCTCTCATTTTCTTCTCTCTCCTCCATTTTCCCTTGTCCCCTAAAGAGCTTCTCTCTCTGTTCCCCAATTTCCTCTTAATCGGGCCGTGCTGTTCCGTCCAAAAATGGAGCGACACAAGGGCTTCTTCTCGGCTCTCAAGGAGGAGGTGGTCCGCGGGCTGTCGCCGGCCCGCTCCATGAGAGGCCGGAGCCACTCTCCGTCTGGTTCGGGCCTGCACCGCCGGAGGAGAGGCGTCCCGCCGGAAATATTTATGTCGAGATCGGGGAGCTGGAGGCCAGGGGTCGAGACCCTGTCGCCCCTGAGGGAGGGCCCGGATCCGGACGGGTCGGACTCGGAGGACCCTCGGAGCGACGGCTGGGCTCACTGGCTCTGCCGGGCTCCTGCCGTCTCCGCCGCCGAGCCGGGCTATGCGAGGTCCGATCTCAGGCTGCTCCTGGGCGTGCTCGGTGCGCCGCTCGCCCCGGTGCACGTTAGCAACAGCGACCCTTTGCCTCACCTGTCTATCAAGGACACCCCCATTGTTAGTACTCTCTCTCTCTCCCTCTCTCTCTCTCTCTCTCTCTCTCCCCCATTTGTTCTCTTATTTCATTTTTTTTTTTGTGGGTTTTGCGGGGTTTTTGCTGGGTGAGTTATGAACAAAGATGAGATTTTTGTTCTTCCTCATTACTAGAAATCGAGGTGCGAAAAAATGGTTTGCAGAAGTTAATGTTGTTTTTCAATTATTGTTCCGTTTGTTTCTTTTATCTGTTCTTGTTCTGTGTGATTTCATTCCTTTGTACTGTATTGTACTATAATCATCCTTAAATTTTTCCTAATTTTTGCAAAAGAATATGTTGTATGTAGAATCCCCTTACTAAATTCTCACTTAATTGTTAAAATCCCCTCTTCAATCAATGAAAATCCCTTCGTTTATTGAAGCCAATTTGGTCTGTATATCTATAAAAAGAAGGCTGCTGCTGCTGTTGCTGCAGAATCTCAGTAATGGCGGAAAATAGGTAAATTTAATACGATATAAATTAGTGTTGACCACAGACACCCCTTTTCTTGGTTGTTATATAGTCGCTGCCTTGATTAAATTCTTAATATTTTGTGAAGTATTTATTTGGTGGTCCTCCTCATTTACTTGCCATCACTTCTCATCTTACAAAAAACTGAAAAAAAAAAGAAAA